CTCACCGTGTGACGTCATTGTGCTCTGGAGGGACGGTGGCCATCTTGTGGGTTAGAAACATCCTGTTTTTACCATGCTGGTTGTTTTATTCATGCATGTACACATGGAACCTAAATAAATTTACTGATTATAAGTTTAAATACTACACTATGAGTTGCCTTTCTTCTCTATGCATTCCCTTACCATTTGATGGGAGTTTCTGCCATTTGGAGGTTTATTGAAGTTGGAGAAGTTACATATTATTCTGGAAGGGATCTCTATTGATGATCGATTGCTGCATTTGATGATATACCACACTGCTCATGTTGACCGACCTTTGTGCGGTCAAACTGTCTGGTAAGAGGCCAATTTGGTTGGGTGAATGGTGATGGCTTTTTGGATCGAACTTTTCCAATTATGCACCTATTTGAATTCATTTGGGAATTTATATGGACTTTATTACATTTAAAGTGCTATAAGACCATTGTATAATTAGCTCTGCATTTATCTATTTATATCAGATTTTTATAAGAATCTGTGTATAAGCAAAAAATGGATATGATATCAATAATAATAAATTGACAAATTAATCCATCAATGGCTTAAAACATCGCGCCACACTGACGTGAAAACCATCAACGTTCAAAATATAACTGGAGCCGCTATTTTAAACAAAATTAAACAGTGTGTAAATAAATGGTAATACCATAAACAGAGCTCTCAACCCTTAAATAAAATTAAATTTAAAAAAAAATTAAAATACAACAAAATATTAAATATAAATTAAAATAATAATAAATGTTTATTTATATATATTATTTATATTTATTATTTAGATTTAATTTAATTTTTTTTATTTAATTTTATTTAAGGGTTGAGAGCGCTGTTTATGGTATTCCCATTTATATCACATTATTGCCTTCAAATGTGCAAGCTGCTTTTATTTATTCTTGTTGTTTAAATTCTGAGCGCAAGTGTTCGTTTATATGTTACATGTTCTACCCATTTTAAGGCTAGGTTCACACCTATAAAAAAGGGGGTTGTGAAAAGAAATTCACAGAGAAAGTGGCTACTTTTCTTCCAATGGGAATAACTGCAAGTTAATTTTTGCATAAATGGGTGGGTCTTAACCCACTATAAATAGAAAATTGGAATGCAGGAATCTCATTGGTCCTGACGAAGCTGAGTGAGATACGCCCATCGGCGAAACGCGTTGACGTCATACGTCAGATACGTCACTTCCGGTCATGCGCACTAGGTGGAACGCACGCTGACCTACAAGGAGGAAGCCATCTTCACATGCCATGAGGCAGGCTTAAGCAGCACAGGCGCCGAGAAGAGGCTGGAACCCGCGGTATATCGGCTGATGTCAGCGGTTGTTCCCTGGCCTCTCTGGCCTTGTTAGGCAGTACCTATGAAGGACATCTTTTCCTCTCCTACTATCCATTGCGCAGGTGGTGAGTGGACTGTTACAGGACACTAGTTATATGGTCCTCTGTGATCGATATGACCTATACATCTTACATAGAGTAAAGCTCTTCCAGTGACTTTCCACATATTGTTTGTTTCACTACAGGATGGGGACATCATGGTGCTTTTCATAGGAAACAGGATATACCACGTGTATCTCAACAGGCAGAAGATTTATTGGGATCTGTCTTGTTTTCCTTACAGAAAGTGGTGTGTAGTCCACATATAGTGGTGAAGAAACCATTTCAAGCAGTGCTCTGCTATTTGCATCTATCCTTCCATCCTGGTAACAAATGGGGCTTATTTTCATTTAAGAGCCCTAAGGAAACAGTCGCTTATATTACAGATGAATGGGCCCCAACCACATGTGCCGGCATAGGAGTGTACTGCATTTTATATATGACATTCATTTTTTCTTGTCTTTTATAGGCCTAGAGGCATGTTTCTCTTTTTGACGCACACTGTGCTTGCTGTACTGCATACATGTGATATTTTATATCTATAGTGTAATGTTTTGACACTCCCTGCTTGGGATATAACCATTTTGGTAGTAGCATATGTCTACACATTTACAACATGCTACATGGTATACCTATGGTATACTTTTTGCATACACCTCCTGTGGGAAGTGTTCACCTGTGAACCAGTGCTACAAAGACTTTAGGCTCTATTAGTCACTGTCTTTGTTGCACAATTATTTGGAACGGTCTTGGTGTCACTTTATATGGTTTTAGGTCTGTGTGTATTGTCTCATACTGAGGTGATGGTAAACCAGGGCGATTGCCCAAATGTCAAACTTGTCTATATGTAATAAAGCATAATTTTTGGAAATTTTTCTGATTGTCACACTCTGTTCATAATGTAGCCACTTTCTCTGTGAATTTCTTTTCACAACCCCCTTTTTTGTGCATGTGTTTTTTGGCTACTGAATGGAGGCCATCTACTGGGTGATATGGTAATTTATTATACAACCTCTAAATAACTATCTTTAACTAGGTTCACACCTATGCAGTTTGCGTTTGATCCATTTCTGCATTGTGTTTTGCATTTTTGCACTTACGTTTTTGCTGCGTTTGTGATGCTTTTTTTATTTGTTAAATTTTTCTTGTTGCTGGGCAGATTTAAAACGCAGCAAAAATGCACTACATGCTTCATTGAAGTCTATAGAACCAAAAACGCAACTTTTTGAGTTCAAAAAAGTCCCTGACCCTTTCCAAAAAAAAAAAAAACTGGGTGAAAACGTGGAGATGTGAACGTGTCCCATAGGGAATCATGTTAAATGGACTGTACTGCGTTTCTGCAAAACGCTGCGTAAAATGCTTGGGTGTGACCCTAGGGTTAGGGTGGAACATGTAACAGGGTTGCCGCCTCATCCCTTTAAACCCAAACACATATTAATTACACAGGTTCTGTGGCTGATTAGGGTGGTAATTAAACTCACTTGGTGCCTTATCTGCAGTAAATCAGCCTCAGAACCTGTGTCATTAATATGTGTTCAGGTCAGGGGCGGCCTGACAACTCATGGGGCCCCTGTGTCCTTGCCCAAACTCAAATAAGCCTATGAAAAAGGTACCAGGGGCATCTCATGGGGCCCCCTACTGACCCCGGGCCCTCGAGCAGTGCCCGAGTTTCCAAATGGTCAGTCCGCCTCGGGTTTAACCTTCTTGGCGGTATGATTATTTCTGATTTTTTTGTGCTGAAAGCGGTACCATTATTTTGCATGGAAATATGTAGTTTTTTTATTGTAGGCTGTAATTTTTAGGAATAACTCACTGAAATCTGTCCGAACAAGAGTCTAGTAAACATCCCGGATATGATAAAACTTGAAACACGAAATCATAAATTATAATTTAATAAATAATCATAAAAAATAATAATATAATAATAATACATTTAATTCAATAATATAATCAAACCAAAAACACTGAAATTTGAAATACAGAGGCAAATTCGCACATCGCTGAGCAAAGTCGCAAAATCGTTTTCAGTGTCTGATGAGGAATTTCCCCCACGAATCATTATCACTCAATTCTGCAAGTGGTGTTCTGATTTACTATCGCTGTTCTCTAGCCGGTCTAAAACCGATTTTGATGTAAAGGGACGCTTTTTGGACGCCATGGACTTTTCTAAGTTTCCAGGCAGAAAGAACAGTCAAAATGCAGGCAGGGCGCCGGACAAAGCACTCGGGACAAAATGTATGTGAAATGGTTTGATACAGGAATGTTTTACTATATAATAATCATTTTTAAAAAAAAAATGTCATTTTTTAAAAATTTCAAATTTGCCGCCAGTTCCGGCGCCCGTACGTCCCGACGTCACAGGGACCGGAACATGGATGCCGGCATCGGCCGGAGGAGATGGCCGGGTACGCATCATGGGAGCGAAGGACAAGGTAAGTGCTTCAGGGACTCCCTGAGCAGCGCCGCATGGTAAGCCTGAGTGTAGCTCGGGGTTACCGCTCTTGGTACTGAAATTTTACCCCGAGCTACACTCGGGAATACCGCCAGGGAGGTTAAAGAGATGAGGTGGCAACCCTAGTGTAACATGTTGCCACAGCTGCTGTGTTCTCCGCCCCCCTCTCTCTAAAAGATAGTACAGGGAGAAGTCTCCCCATACTATCTGTCAGATTTGAAAACTGTGCGGCTGTGTTGGGCTCTGCCCATACAGCCGCGTCATTCATTCACGGACTTCCATGAATGAATGAACTGCAAGTCCCAGCAGCCTTAGTGGCTGTGGACTTGTAGTTTTCAATGAACTACCATGGCGCTGTGGAGGGCTGTGCTAGTTCATTGATTCTTCCTGTCAGAATATCTGGCTGACTGTACATCCCATACGGCAAGCAGATATTCTGACAGGTCTGCAGGAGACCTGCATGGCATCAGCAATCTACTGATCACTGGTGCAATGCTTTCCAGCAAAACGCACAGAAAGTAGGTTATATGGTTGTCAATGTCATAGTTCACATCAGTGCTTGCCGTTCCAGTGAGTTCCGGTTGCATTTTTCCTGCACAGAACTGTACTGGAACGCAGTAAAACACATCAAAAATGCACTGCAATGCACATGTCCCTATTTAAATTGAAGAAAAAATTAACTGGAATGCATAAAAAATGCACCAGAACACAAAAATTGCATCAAAAACACCCCGGAACATGCCACAAACGCACATGCAGAAGTGCATCTGGACTACGTTTTTATAGTGTGATACAGTCCAGTGCATTTTTTTTTTCTGCATCAAAAATGCATGCACGGTGTTTTCCATGTATTCCAATAGCCCTAGTTCACACTAGTGTATTCAGTTCCAGTCAGTTTCCGGTGCGGAAAAAAAGTAAAGCATGCTGCATTTTTTCTGCACAGAACTGCATGTGGTGTGAACTGTAAGAAAAAAAGGTATCCGGAGTGCATCTGGAGTGCATTTTTGTGATGTGAACTGGCCCTTAAAGTGTTACTAAAAACCCACAACAGTACAATCAGTCTGTATATGCAGTACAGCATGCTTGTTATACTCACTGTGGAACCTAAGGGGTTAATCCTCTACATTGTGTAAAAAGGCTGTTTGATCCTGTCTTCTCTGATCCTCACCTACTTCCATTGTCCTCCACTCATCTCCAAATAACAGTCTTTGGCTTCACTCTTTACATGCTCAGTTTAGTTAATCCTCCGCATTGTGTAAAAAGGCCATTTGATCCACTTCTCTTGTTCAAATCTCCATGTCTTATCTCCCGTAGCCATTCTGCACATGCTCAGTTTGGTGTGTATTGCTAGAGAGGTTTTTTTTTTTTCTTGGGAAAGTGCATGTGATCAGCACAGGGCCAATCAGCACTGTCCAGCCAGAGGTCAGGGGTCCTGCATCCTCCTGGAACAGAATGAAAACTCCACCTTTAACCAGTGCTCAGCTGTACACTGATAGAAGTCACAAGACTGCTCTAACTGCTGATGAGAAAATGTATTTAGCAGTTTATATTTACTAAAGTAAGTGCATTTCCATGTAGTGTGTACTGTGGGAGACCAGATATAGTGAATGCAGGGTCCGGGGAGACCAGATATAGTGAATGCAGGGTCCGGGGAGACCAGATATAGTGAATGCGGGGTCCGGGGAGATTGGATATAGTGAATGCAGGGTCTGGGGAGACCAGATATAGTGGATGCAGGGACCGGGGAGACCGGATATAGTGAATGCAGGGTCCGGGGAGACCAAATATAGTGAATGCAGGGTCCGGGGAGACCGGATATAGTGAATGCGGGGTCCTGGGAGACCAGATATAGTGAATGCAGGGTCTGGGGAGACCAGATATAGTAAATGCAGGGTCCGGGGAGACCAAATATAGTGAATGCGGGGTCTGGGGAGACCAGATATAGTGAATGCAGGGTCCGGGGAGACCAGATATAGTGAATGCAGGGTCCAGGGAGACCAGATATAGTGAATGCAGGGTCCTGGGAGACCAGATATAGTGAATGCAGGGTCTGGGGAGACCAGATATAGTGAATGCAGGGTCCGGGGAGACCAGATATAGTGCATGTGATCAGCACAGGGCCAATCAGCACTGTCCAGCCAGAGGTCAGGGGTCCTGCATCCTCCTGGAACAGAATGAAAACTCCACCTTTAACCAGTGCTCAGCTGTACACTGATAGAAGTCACAAGACTGCTCTAACTGCTGATGAGAAAATGTATTTAGCAGTTTATATTTACTAAAGTAAGTGCATTTCCATGTAGTGTGTACTGTGGGAGACCAGATATAGTGAATGCAGGGTCCGGGGAGACCAGATATAGTGAATGCAGGGTCCGGGGAGACCAGATATAGTGAATGCAGGGTCCGGGGAGACCAGATATAGTGAATGCAGGGTCCTGGGAGACCAGATATAGTGAATGCAGGGTCCTGGGAGACCAGATATAGTGAATGCAGGGTCCTGGGAAACCAGATATAGTGAATGCAGGGTCTGGGGAGACCAGATATAGTGAATGCAGGGTCTGGGGAGAGCAGATATAGTGAATGCAGGGTCCGGGGAGACCAGATATAGTGAATGCAGGGTCCGGGAGACCAGATATAGTGAATGCAGGGTCCGGGAGACCAGATATAGTGAATGCAGGGTCCGGGGAGACCAGATATAGTGAATGCAGGGTCCTGGGAGACCAGATATAGTGAATGCAGGGTCCTAGGAGACCAGATATAGTGAATGCAGGGTCCTGGGGAGACCAGATATTGTGAATGCAGGGTTCGGGGAGACCAGATATAGTGAATGCAGGGTCTGGGGAGACCAGATATAGTGAATGCAGGGTCTGGGGAGACCAGATATTGTGAATGCAGGGTCCGGGGAGACCAGATATAGTGAATGGAGGGTCTGGGGTTTAGTAACACTTTAATGATCTGGCACGCTTGATCCCTCAGTGTTCGAAGTGTGCTTGTAAAGTCTGAATAAATGGCAGGACAGTGGTGGGGGGTTGCTTACGTTTTTTGTGAACAGGAGCCCTTTTTTCAAAAGCTGAAGAGTGGATTGCAATGAGCTTGGGATGCTGCTGTTTATGGTGGTCCCTAAAGGTGAAAAACAACAAACATGCATACTCACCTAGATGGATTTAGCATCGGTCCGAAGCTGCATCTGTCCCATTTTTACGCTCGAGATCGCTCAGTTCTCCATCTTCAGAGAGCTGGTGACTTTCAGTCACTGCTCTGAGCTCTGCCCCTCCTGCGCTCACTGGTGTGCTGGGCTTTGGAATGGACAGGACTGGCTGACTCTCAGCAGCACTGAAAGGCTGGGTCAGCTGCCAGACGGGTATCTGGGTGGATCCTGACTTTAAAGTCAGGATCCCTCCAGAGTCTGAACCAGCTGATTGACAGCAGCTTTAGCCCTCTGTCAGCTGAATACGGGTCACAGGAGTGCAGAACTAAGTGCTCTCCAGTGATCCACGGGAGGAGTAGGGCCAAAAGAGCTTTGGCCTTACTTCTCGGTCACATTGGGTGCGACTTGGCATGCGATTTGCATGCTCTGCAACATGTAATCGTATGCCAAGTCACACCCTATTGCCTGCTATTAGATCGATCGTTCCGACTTGGTCAGAGCTGCACCGATTTCTAAAGTAGTACATGCGATACTTTTGTTGTGATTTGCATATACATCTGTGTCAGATGTCTTGCAAATCGCAACTGAAATCGGCAGGTCACCTGATTTTGAAATCGTGCGACTGTAAGTTCTAGATTGTAAGCTCCCAGGATCAGGCCCTCCTATCCCTCTTGTATTGAACTGTATTGTTGCTGTATTGTCTCCCTCTATATTGTAAAGCGCTGAGCAAACTGTTGGCGCTATATAAATCCTGTATAATAATAATAAGTTGCACGATTTCAAAATCGACTTTGATGTAGAAGTGTAGTCAAATCCTAACTAAAGCAGGCCATAGACGGGTCGAACATTGATCGATTAATCGGTCGTTCGATCGGCCAACGTTACCACCAACGTTAAAAAAAAATTTTTGACCCGTCTATGGCTGGCATTAACCCCATAACTTCTGTCCCTTGCAGAGACAGAACAGCACACCATACAATGTGGCAGCAATACAAATACATTATTTGGATACAAATGGATACATTTGTTGCAAACGCAAGACTTTTTCATATAAAATATAATAGCAGACTTCTTCTTATTCTTGTTCTTGCAGGTCACGGCTCATGTGCAGATTTTTTATCGGTAAAACAATCGGGCGATTTGCCCATCATTGCCGCGAAAATCGGCCGCACATTTTCCAACATGACCGATATAAAAAATGTGCAAAAACCCCGAAAAATGGCCAACCAATTAACCCACTAACGGTGCGAAAATCGGGCGATTTTTTTTTTGGCCGAAAAATCCATCGATTTTCGACCCGTCTATGGCCGGCATTAGGGTAAATCCACTCCCACCCCCATTGTTGATTGGACACAGCCAGGGCTTTTTTTCAGTGGGAATGCGGGGGAACGCAGTTCTGGCCCCTCCAGCACTGAGTGTATGCAATGGCCAGGGGTGCTGTAGTGTGCTGGAAGGTCTTTTGATGCTAGATCCTGGGGGATCCTTTTCTTGCAGGTGGGTATATTGTTTCTGGAGGGGGAATATATTGTTTCTGGGGGTCAATTGTTGCTGAGAGAGATCTACTGTTGAGGAAGAAGTCTTCTATTGCTGGCTGCTGGAGGGTCCTTTAATGCTGGCTGCTGGAGGGTCCTTTAATGCTGGCTGCTGGGAAATTTGTTGTTGCTGCAGGGGGGTCTAATGTTGCTGGGGTGGTATTTTGTTGTGGGGGGTCTATTGTGGGGAGGGGGGGTCTTAAAGGGGTGAAACTGGGAGGCCAGTAGGGGTGAAACCAAGACTGTGTTCAGAGGTGCATAGGGGACGGAGAGAAGAGGTGGGTTAGAGGGGGGAGTTCCGTCACCTATTCTCTGAAAAATGACACAGCCAATCAGTCCCTGCCCATAAATCATTGGCCAGGACCTGCTGACAAACTCCCGTAGTGTACAATCACAGTGGGAGAAGGTAGGTGGGGGCACATGCGTGTGTCCTGTACCCAGGAGAGGCTACTAACATACAGGTACATTGCTGTGCTTGCACAGGCCACCCGTCCCCGATACGTTGCGGGTGGGTGGTCTGCAAGTGGTTATACATTAATTGGAGGCAGCGAGACAGCTTTCCTTTAAGTGGAAGTTAGGTCCTAACTAATGTCCGTACACACGATAGAAAATCGTACAAAAAATTTCACTGAACCACCGATCGAACGATTTTCTCTTCATTGATGAGCAGGATGTTTTAACCAATAACAATATTGTGTACGAAAAAAATTTGGTTGAACAACAGTGAAAAAGTTTGTTCCAAATATGAACGACCGATTTTCTATGCGGTGGTATGACGGTCGTATGAAAAAATCTATCAAGCGCTATCACGCATGAGCGGAAACAGAAGATGACCCGGATGTTTATGTCCAAGGAATCTTCGTAAACACGAAACGAAAAATCCAAATGTTAAAAGTAGATTGTCCTAATGAGATCATGAAACCAGAATTCAGCAGATTATATTTTTTGTATCACTATTTATGTATATAGGTCATGTAATAAACGATATTATACTCATTGCTGGGAATTGTGGTGTATATCGCTCGTTCTGGTCGGAAGGGCGTGGCTACAAGGTCACACGCACACCGCAACACTTCCATTTGTACGGAAGACGTCAACACTACGTATTGCCCAACGAATGATTTTTTTAGATCGGTTAATGTTGTCCAACAAACGAACGCCTCTCGGTCTTCAGATGACCGATCGGTCAGTTTTCTGATCGTGTATTCCCACCTTTAGGCTGGCCATACATTATACAATTTTCTTGAGATTTTTGGTTTATATTTACCAAAACCCATATAATAGGAGGTCAAACCTAACAACACTTTCAATTGTATCCAATTAGGCAGGTTCTTGCACTACATAGCTGAAGGTAAATCTAAAGGAAATTGGACAGAAAATTGTATAGTGTATGGCCAGCCTAAGGCTAAACCGGGTGAAAACGCAGAGATGTGAGTGTGTCCCATAGGAAATCATGTTAAAAACATAAAAAAACGCAGCAATAACGCAACACATGCTTTTCTGCAGCATTCCCATTGAAGTCTATAGAACCAAAAATGCAACGTTTGCGTTAAAAAAAAGTCCCTGACCCTTTCCAAAAAACGCACCGAAAATGTGGAGATGTGAACCTGTCCCATAGGAAGTCATGTTAAATGGACTGTACTGCGTTTCTGCAAAATGCAGCGGAAAGCGCATAGATGTGAACCTGGGTGAGGCTAAACCTACTCCCATCCCCATTCTAAGCCTCTTCTATCTAACCCTGTACAGAAAAGATCTGTATACTTCCGTATTCTGCAGCCGATCCGGTCTGGTCACATGATCTCTCCAGCGATGGCTTCAGTGTAGGGTAGAGATCACCAACAACGGCTGTAAAGTCTGGGCAATGATGTCATCCATAGGCCTACTATGGGACGTCCATTGTTGGCTGCCCCTTCTCTACACTAAAGCTGCCACTGACAGCTGATCATGTGACCAGACCGGATCAGCTGCAGAATAGGTAAGTATACTCAGCTTTTCTGTACAGGATTAGATAAAATCAGCTTAGAATGGGGATGGGAGTAGATTTAGCCTCACCCTGGGTTCACACCCACGCTTTCCGCAGCATTTTGCAGAAACGCAGTACAGTCCATTTAACATGACTTCCTATGGGACAGGTTCACATCTCCACATTTTCACCCTGTGCGCTTTTTGGATCAGGGACTTTTTTTTAACGCAAACGTTGCGTTTTTGGTTCTATAGACTTCAATGGAAATGCTGCAGAAAAACACGTGTTGCGTTATTGCTGCGTTTTTTATGTTTTGCGTTTAAAATCTGCCTAGCAACAAGAAACATTTCAAAAGATGAAAAAACAAACAAACCATAAAATGCTTCAAAAATGCAACAAGTGCAAAACGCAATGCAAAATGCAATGCAGAAATGCACAAAATGCAACTGGGCGGCACAGTGGCTTAGTGGTTAGCACATCTGCCTTGCAGTAAATGGGTCATGGGTTCGATTCTTGACCATGGCACCTCCTGCATGGAGTTTGCATGTTCTCCCTGTGCTTGTGTGGGTTTCCTCAAGGTGCTCTGGTTTCCTCCCACACTCCAAAGACATGCTGGTAGGTTAATTGGCTCCTGTCTAAATTGTCCCTAGTATGTGTATGTATGAATGTGAGTTAGGGACCTTAGATTGTACGCCCCTTGAGGGTTAGGGACTGATGTGAATGTACAATATATATGTAAAGTGCTGCGTAAATTGATGGCGCTATATAAGTACCTGAAATAAGTAACTTGCATAGGTGTGAACCTAGCCTTTGATAGGATTTGACTAAACTTCCAAATTAACCACTTGCCCTCCTGAGGATTTACCCCCCTTCCTGACCAGGCCATTTTTGTGATACGGCACTGCGTTACTTTAACTGGCAATTGCGCGGTTATGCAAATCTGCATCCAAATTAA